TCACTTTCAAAAGAGCATTATGCTAAAAACAGTGAAATATTTTATCCTTTAGTTTTCAACCCAAGAAACAGAGGTAATAAGACACACACTGCTGCAAAATCACCACCTAATTTTAGAGTGTTAGCTGGAATTTTATTAGAGGGAGTTTAAGACCAGGAACTGAGCCAGGTTTTTTCTGTTCGACCCTCCAGATGTCCACCAGGATGACGTTTGGAAAGAGGAGGCGCTCGCTGACCAGGAGAGGAGCTCCAGTTTTGATGAAGAGGATCCAGAACCTCTGCAGATTAAAGAGGAGAAGGTTGAGTTTGGACATCTGCAGATAAAAGAGGAAGATATGGAGCTCCTCGTCAGTCAAGATGAAGAGCAGCTTGAGCTGAAGGAGGAGTCTGACACCTTCATGGTGACGCCTACTGATGAGGAAAGCTTTCACACCGAACCAGAACCAAACTGGTACCCGCTTGACTCTCAGGACTCCCCTGAAAGTGACAACCAGGATCAGGAAGGAAGCATTTCAGAAGACTGGGGGTCAAAGAGTGATGAAGAGCAAATGCTAAATGAGCAGGATCAGGAAACGAGACAATATAATCAGTATTCTAAGAACTCAAATCAAGAAGGGCACAGTGCTCACAAAGAAAAGAAACAATATTCTTGCAAAATGTGTGATAAAAGCTTTTCCCAGAATAATAACCTAACGATACACATGAGAAGTCACACCGGGGAGAGGCCTTTCTCGTGCGAGACATGTGGCAAAGGTTTTACAACAAAATCGAATTTAACCCTTCACTTGAGAACTCACACAGGTGAGAAGCCTTTTCCGTGCATGACCTGTGGAAAAAGCTTCAGTCTAAAATGTATTCTAACTGAGCACATCAGAACTCACACCGGTGAGAAACCCTTCCCATGTCTGGCCTGTGAGAAAAGTTTCCCATCCAAAAACCATTTGAATAAGCATTTGAGAATTCACACTGGTGAGAGGCCATTCTCGTGTATCACCTGTGGGAAAAGGTTCAGTCTGAAGTGTAATTTAACTGAACATATGAGGACTCACACTGGTGAGAAGCCTTTTCAGTGTTTGGCTTGTGACAAAAGTTTTAACTCTAAAAACCATTTGAATAAACACCTGAGAGTCCACACAGGTGAGAGGCCTTTCTCCTGTGTGATCTGTGGAAAAAGGTTCGCTCAGAAAAGTTGTTTAACGGATCACATGAGAACTCACACGGGGGAGAAACCTTTTCTTTGTGATATGTGTCAGAAAGCCTTCAGCCTGAGGAGTAGCTTGAATAACCACATGAGAACCCATACAGGTGACAAGCCTTTCTCATGTGACACCTGTGAAAGAACGTTCACGTTAAAGAGTCGTCTGAATAGACACATGAGGTCTCACACAGGGGAGAAACCGTTTACATGTAATGCATGTACTAAAACCTACAGCCTAAAGAGTAGTTTGACCAAACACATGAAGACTCACATCTGCTAGGAGCATTTCTTCTGTAGGCCTATACAGTGTAGAGATAAAGATGTTAGTAACCACTAACATGAAAGCTCATATTTTAATGTGATATGGAAATAGTGACTGTTCACTATGACTGGACTTAAACTTTATTATTAAATTTTGTGGTGCCGTTGTGATAATTATAAAAGTGACAAGAACTATTTATTACATCTTTTTTAGGTAACTTTATGACTACGACTGCTCTTGAAAAACATTCCCATTTGTAATGCGCTTCTTTAGGAAAAATACTAGTTTTGTAAAGAAGTCTAATTTATATCACTTCTTGAATATTCAAATGTAATGATATTTATTGATGTTTTTGTTGAACAACCAGTGGAGAAAATAGTAAAACTATCAACTCTGATAATAATGACTCTTCTAGGGATTTTTAAATATCACTAATTGGAGTTCATAATAGCAACAATAAATCAAAATTCTTATGTAGTGTTCACTTTAAATTTTGCAAATAAGAATGTGCAATGTGAGTTTTACTACTTCCTTGTATATAATGGGGACATAAAGCTAATTATTAAATAATCTAAAGTCAAATAAGGCCAATGGATTAAGAAAAAACAGATCAAAATAGTTGTCATTTCTTCCAAAGGCAAAATTATTGCCAAATCCTCAGTCTGTTCAGTATTATTAAACACATTAAGCTCAGGGGATTTACATATAAATTATTTCTCATAAAATCAAATGTTGGTATGTTTTTTTTTTCACTTTTTCAATTCAAATTCAAAAGATACTTTATTGATCCCAAATAGAAATTAGATGTTGCTGCAATTCATCAATTAAAGGTTCTTCAAAAAATTATTGTACATTTTTATACATCCATTTGGGTCTCTACTGATTCTAGAAAGACTCCACGTGTTTAAAAAAGAACAAAGAGTTAATATTTTTTGGTGTCTAGACAGCAAACAGTTTCAAAAACCTTTTGTAATATAATGTTACATAGCAACAGGCATTGCCTTGTTACAAAGCTCGAGCATGTTTGGTCAGCTGGTTTTGCTGTATGTGCTGTACAATGGCTGCTGGAAAAGGCAAGAGGCCCTAAAACAGCTCATTCTGAAAGGAGCTCAAAATAGTCAGAACTGACTAAATCTGTGTCTGAGAATTATTCTGGGTGAAAAATGTTATGAAGGTGTTTTGTGTAGCCCACAGTCCTAACTCATTCAAGGAACCATAACAACCATAACACCATAACAATTAAGATGGCCTTCCTGCTCCTCCTCTTACAGATTATAGATTTCCTTCCCAAAAATCAGTTGCAGTGAAAAGCCACCATGTTTGTGTTTGTCTTTTCATTCATTGCAAATATTGACTCCAGACGATGAGTTGTCCATTCAGCTACTGCAGAAATAAAAAATATATATATCATTATATCGTGCTGTTATTTTCTAAATATTTGTATGTATGACTGACTTCTGGGTGAAAACTGATTTGATGCAGTTTCTCATTGACTTTAAAAGAAAATCAAATTTTCTCCAGCATTAAATTTTATTTAAAATTTATTGCAGGCATAGGTTGTCAAGCAAATAAATATGCCGCAGCTGCATACTGTCTACTTCACAGAAGATTGACCTTAAAATTTCCAATGTTCCACCTGTGGAAAAAGCTTCAGGCAAAAGATTCATTTAATTGAACACATGAGAAGTCACACAGGAGAGAAGCCTTTTCAGTCTATTTCAGCATTAAATGTAGTTTGAATAAACACATGAAACTGCATGCAAGCTAGATGCCTTACTCTGTTGCATCCTGAACGTGTAACATTTTTACATGAGCTGTATTTTGACAAAACTTTGAGGTATAATCATGAGTGATTCTTGTTAAATTCTCAGCTGGAGTCTTTCAGCTCATCCTTTCACTTCATGATCAAACCATGTTCTTTATGCCTCAAAATCAATTATAACATTCTGCCACAGAATAAGGACTTAAAGTCATCCCAGAGTCTGCAGCATAGCTTGACCAAACACTTTGTCTTATCTGAGAAATATGATCCTCTGCAAGATCTGATGGAGGTTTTTAACTTGTAGAGGATGGAACATGCCGACTTTTCCTGTATTTACAACACTGCATGGATTTTAAAAAGCCAGTATTGGGTCACAATATAAACTCTAACAATTTCCTTCGTCTCCCAAGTTGTTCCGAGACGAATGCTATATTTTTTACTTGCAATCACCAAATATGTTGTGCTCAACATAAAGGGGCCAAAGTGAGATGTGAAAGAACAAAGTGATCCATTTATATTTTCTGGTTGTTTATTGCAGAACAACCACAAAATACCAAATATTCCTTGAGAAATGTTTATATTTAACTAACGATGGGAATCAAACTGACTGATAAACTAGCGCAGATTTCTCTGCAGATGCGACCAGGAGGAATTTGTGAGGCTCTGTGTTCAGACTCCGGCGGCAGCAGGTAAAATTTAAGTGGAGTCATTTAATTGAATTGATCATAAATATTTGGCTTCAGACAGTGGTTTGTGTCACTACGGAGAGAAACTTAGATGCATTCATCTGCTTCATATGTGACAGACTCTGGATTCACGATTGAACTAAGAATATTATCTAAACCGCATAAAAATTCAGTTAAATAGCCTATGGTGGTATGATTATAATTTGATGGGTAAAAACAGTTTTTAAAGCTGATGAAGGATGTGGAGGCCAAGTTAACGTGAAGTAATATTCAGTTATTGTTAAAACATTTTGTTTAATATGTAATTTAATAAGTGAATTTATTGAAGTTTAGGAAGAATTATTAGTACTGCATGTAGCTAATTTTGTAATGTTTTGTTGTCAGTGAGTGTTTTATTTTAAGTTGTATGTTTATAGTTTAAGTGTCCATTTCGCAATTTATGCAAATGAGGTGTGGACGCTGTAGCGTTAAGGAGGAAGAAAGGAAAGGCGCTGCTAGTTTATCTACAGAGCCACACGGTTTTTCAACCGTAGTTGTTTGTGAAGGTTAGATAAAATACAACTGCTCTTGTAAAGGATATCTCACAAAAACTGTGGAATAAATTTTTGTTTTGCATCCTTATTTCGGAGCGCTGTGGAAGTTTTTATTTTCCTCTACAAACACGCGAGTGGATACTGCAAAGAAACCTTGTGGCAACACAAAGGATAACATAAAAGTCTAGCACAACCTCTGATTGATTGTGTGGTGTCTTCTATGACTTTGTGTTTTATGATATAATGCACTTCAACTTTCCTTGTTGCAATAAAAATAAACTTGATTGAATGATGATCTCACATTTCATGTTTCTCAGAGAACGTCTCGGTTCGCAGTGGTTCGGACCGGAGACACACGTAGTGTATATCAGGATAATAAAGCGGCAGGTATTTGCACAGGTTTAAAGTCAAAAACAGAAAATGAGAAACCCACTGTGATGATAAATGGCGTTTATTACATAAAAATTACAAATACAATGTTCTATTTACAGGCGTTTTTGTATCAGAAAAAGTATTTTTCAATTTGAATATAAGCTTGGTGAAGAAAGCAGATTGGGTGACGCTGTCCAACTAGTCTAAGCTTGGTTTCACTGATACGTGCAGCCGCCCACGACACCTTTAAACGAGTCACAATCCACAGCTAAACTTAAAGAAAACCATCATAATGGGAAATTTATTTCTGTTATTGTTTTTTAATCACATAAAGCACTTAGAACTGCATTGTTTTTTTTTAAAACACTATATTTATAGGAATCATTCATACATTTGTTATATTCTTAATAGGGATAGAAATACAATTCACACACATACAGTCTAAATTTGCATGGGTTCCAATGACACACATATATTTGTATCTGAATAAACATTTCATTCAAACATTTAGGTCAGGAACAAATTACCAAACGGATAAAATCAATGAATCATAAGAAGACAGAGAAAAGGAGAAAACACACACATGCTTTCAAAACTATACTTCAGAAACCAATTACACTTCCACACAATGACAAATTTCTTTAATCTTATTTACCAGCATCATATACAGTATCTTATATTAATTTTCTTCAACTGAGTCTTCACCTGTGTGAGCTCTCATGTGAATAGAGAAACTTTCTCGATGTGTGAAACATTTTTTCTGCAACTATTACATCAGAAAGGATCCTCACCTATGATTCCTCAAATGGAAATCTAAACTACATTTTTGAGTGAAACTTTTTCCACAAGTCATACATGTATAAGGCTTCTCCCCTGTGTGCATTCTCATGTGACAAGTTAATTGACATTTCTGTGTGAAACGATTTCCACACGTTGTACATATGAAAGGCTTCTCACCTGTGTGAATTCTCATGTGACAAGCTAAATGACTTTGCATTGTGAAACTCTTCCCACAACTTTTACATGTGAAAGGCTTCTCACCAGTGTGAATCCTCATGTGAGTAGCTAAATGACTTTTCCGAGTGAAACTCTTTCCACAATTAATACATGTGAAAGGTTTCTCACCTGTGTGAATCCTGATGTGGTTAGCTAAAAGTCTTTTTAGAGTGAAACTCTTTCCACAACTAATACATGTAAAAGGCTTCTCACCCTGTGTGAATCCGCATGTGAGTGACTAAATAACTTTTCCGAGTGAACTATTCCCACAACTAATACATGTGAAAGGCTTTTCACCTGTGTGAATCCGCATGTGAGTAGCTAATAACTTTTCCGAGTGAAACTATTCCCACAACTAATACATGTGAAAGGCTTCTCACCTGTATGAATTCTCATGTGAAAAGTTAAATTTTGTCTATCCATAAACTTTTTCCACACGTCACACATGTGAAAGGTTTCTCACCTGTGTGAATCCTCATATGTCTTTTCAAGGAGTTGTTTCGAGAAAAGATTTTTTCACAAATTTTACAGAGATATGTATATTTTTTTAGGTGAGATTTTCTATGTTTTGGACGTTCAGTAGTTTCCATTTTGTTGTTTGTTTTTCTGACATCTCTGGGTTTGTGTCTGCTCTTTGTCTTTATTTTCTCCTGGGTTTCCAGAATTGCTTCCTTCCTGATTCTGGTTCTCATCTTCAGAAGAAGCATGAGAGATGAGTTGGTTCCTGTTTGGTTCTGTTTCATTGTTGATTCTTTGCTCAATAGAAGGAGTCACCAAAATGTCTCCAGTCTCCTGTTTCAGCACAAGTTGCTCTTCATCCTGACTGATGCAGAGTTGATTCTCTTCCTTTTTGACTTGTTTATCTTCTAGTTTTCTTCTTAGTTAAATTGGACTTCCTCTTCTGGTTGCTGAGCTCTTTGAGAACCTCCTCTTTACACACACAACGTTGTGGTCGATCTGGACAAACAGACAAAACAAAAGCTTATAAATTTAAGTAAAAAACAAACTCCACTTTAATTAGGTACTTTTTCACTCAGGAATAAGAGAGAAATCATGCTGATCATGGAAAATGGCCTTACTTCATCATCAAACGTCTTTCTAAAATTATTTTTTTTCCAAAAGCAAAATGACTGTTAAAGTTTCTTAATTGTCCTTTCCACTGATACCCACTTTATGTATATTGAAGCAAATAAAACACTTAAATTTTTCAGAAGTTTTCAGAATTTATTTTGAAAAATCTGCTTAGAAGCCGTTATTTGTGCTATTTATGCTAATTCCTACATATTTGTATCTGAATAAACATTTCATTTAAACATTTAGGTCAGGAACAAATGACCAAACGGATAAACCAATCAATAGTTTATTTGAAAAGTTTTTTGGCTCTAGTGGCCTTTATTTGAAAGTAGTTTGACAGGAAAGTGGGTTGTGAGAGAGGGGGAGAACATGCAGCAAATGTCACCAGGCCGGGAATCGAACCTGCGGCCACCAACATGAGGACTAAGGCCTCAACAACATGGGTTGTGCTTTTCCACTGCGCCACCACGGCACCCCAAAACCAATCAATCATAAGACGAATGAGAAAAGAAGGAGAAAACACAATCGCTTTCAAAACAATACTTCAATACTTCAAAACAATAGGAACCAATTACACTTTCACACACCAACAATTTTCTTTAATCATATTTACCAGTGTCACACGTCTTATATTAACTTTCTTCATCGATGAGTTTTCACCTGTGTGGGTTCTCATGTGAATATAAAAACTTTTTCCATGGGTGAAACATTTTCTGCAACTAATGCATCAGAAACTATTACCATGTGAATCCTGAAGTGGATATCTAAACTACATTTTTGAGTGAAACTTTTTCAAAAGGTCACACATACAGAAAGAAATTCTGTCGGAAATTCCGTAAAAAACAAACAAACCAGGAAATCCAAAAAAAAAAATTCCAGTGGTCATCATCAATATCTTCAAGGCACAAGGAGCAAAGTGTTTTTTTTTTCACTGCACAAATGTTTGACAGCGATTTTGTTAAATTTGAAGACAAAGGGAAGAGTTATGGAGGGGCAACTTCACTCAGGTGTAATTACAGATAAAAGTTACAGAGCAACTTGATACTTGAGTTTCATATTAAACAGTCTAACCACTGTGATTTCTCATATGAATGATAAACTATTTCTATGAGTGAAACTTTTAAAACAAGTAATAGATGAGAGAGGCTTCTCACCTGTGTGAATCCTCATGTGGGAAGTTGACATACATTCGTGAGTGAAACTCCTTCCACAACTAACTCATGTGAAAGACTTCTCACCCATGTTGAGTCTTCAAGTGGATATCTAAGCTACGTTTTTGAGAGAAACCTTTGCCACAAATCAAACAGGAAAAAGGCTTCTCCCCTGTGTGAATCCTCAAGTGGATATCTAAACTACATTTTTGAATGAAACTTTTGCCACAAGTCATACAGGAAAAAGGCTTCTCACCTCTGTGAATCCTCAAGTGGATATCTAAACTACATTTTTGAGTGAAACGTTTGCCACAAGTCATACATGGAAAAGGCTTCTCACCTATGTGAGTCCTCAAGTGGAGATCTAAACTACATTTTTGATTGAAACTTTTTCCACAAGTCACACATGTGAAAGGCTTCTCATTTGTGTGAATTCTCATGTGAGTCATTAAACTGCTTTTCAGAGTGAAACTTTTCCCACAAGTCATACATGTAAAAGGCTTCTCCCCTGTGTGAATTCTCATGTGACAAGTTAAATGACATTTCTGTGAGAAACGTTTTTCACAAGTTGTGCATGTGAAAGGCTTCTCACCTGTGTGAATTCTCATGTGAATATCTAAACTACTCTTCAATGTGAAACCTTTTCTACAAGTCATACAGGTGAAAGGCTTCTCCCCTGTGTGAACCCACATGTGAGAAGTTAAACTTCTTCTGTCAGTAAAACGTTTTTCACAACTAATACATGTAAAAGGCTTCTCACCTGTGTGAATCCTTATGTGAGTGTTTAAATAAATTTTTTTTGTGAAACTTTTTCCACAAGTCATACAAGTCAAAGGCTTCTCACCTGTGTGAATTTTTGCATGACTCGTCAAGGAGTCTTTTCGAGAAAAGCTTTGATCACAAACTTTGCAGTGATATAATTTTTTTCCAGGTGAGATTTTTTGTGCTTTTTTTGTTTTGGACCTTCAGTAGTTCCTTTTTGCCGTTTGGTTTTCTGACATCTCTTGTTTTGTTTCTGCTCTTTTTCTCTCTTTTCTCCTGGGTCTTCAGATTTGCTTCCATCTTGATCCTGGTTCTCAACTTCAGGAGAAGCATGAGAGACGAGTTGGTTCCTGTTTGGTTCTGTTTCATTGTTGATTATTTGCTCAATAGAAGGAGTCACCAAAATGTCTTCAGTCTCCTGTTTCAGCACAAACTGCTCTTCATCCTGACTGATGCAGAGTTGATTCTCTTCCTCTCTGAACTGTTGATGTTCTGGTTCCTCTTGTTCCAGTTTTATCGGGACAGGTTCTGGTTCGTCTTGTTCCAGTTTTATCAGGAGAGGTTCTGGTTCCTCTTGTTCCAGTTTTATCGGGACAGGTTCTGGTTCGTCTTGTTCCAGTTTTATCATGAGAGGTTCTGGTTCCTCTTGCTCCAGTTTTATTTTAAATGTTTCTGGGTCCTCTTGCTCCACTGTTATCGGGACAGGTTCTGGTTCCTCCTTCCTGTTCCTGGGTTCTTTGAGAATCTCTTCCTCTGTCAACACACGGCATCGTGGGCAATCTGGACAAACAGACAAAACAAAAGCTTATAAATGCAAGTAAAACACAGAGTCTTCACTTGAATCTTTTGGTTCATCTAAATGGGCTTTATTTTTTAATTACGTTTTGTGTCCGGAATATTGATTATTTTATTTTGAACCACCCAAACGTCCGTCACTGATTCGGTGGGTTGATCAAACAAAGCCATGGAATGAAACTGATCTGTTTCAAGTTTTTATTGTTGTGATCTTTTAGTATTTAGTTTCATGCCCAATTCGGCGTCGGTCCCAAACAACTGTCTTTAACATGTCTCTAATAATTAGGACGGTTCAGTGGTTCCTACCTATTCGGTATAGGATGATCTGGGGAGTCCGCCTGCAGCCCAGCAGTCTGCGCTGATCATCCATCTCTTCCTCCGATTTGACGATGATTTCTTTAAACTCCGTTAATGTTTCTTCAGCAGCAGTGAACTGCTCGCTGATTAACTCTGTCTGACGCTGAACTGAAGACTTTTTACTGCAAACACTCTATTCACTCCAAATACCAAACGCGTCTCCAAACTTCATTCTAACAGAAGGGAAGCTAACGCTGCTATTTGTCCTGGTATTATTTCCTGTTTCATTGTAGCTCCACTAAAGAAACGGTGAACGACTATTTATGGCTCAATCGAAGATAATGCTGTTGTAATCACTCAAATATTCCTACAAAACACCAAAACTCTTCATCAAAATGCCTTCTGGCAGAAGAACAGCTATCGCTGCTATCCGCGCTGTTTTTGTTTCCTGTGTGCTTCACTGTGGCTCCACGGAGGAAACTGTGAACGACTTTTAGTTCCGCTTTGAATTTTCAAACTCTCCTTGATCCACCTTTTTTAACAGTGATATTAAATAAATTACAACGTAAGAATTTTCTTTTTCAGAATCCCAATTTACTAACTGACACACTACATAGGTTAAAATACTAAATAATAATATTTTAAAGTCTTTCCTTCTCCTTACCATGTTACAATCACTCCTTACCTGCTGCTGGTCTATATTTGCTCCCTGACATTGCTCTTTCTATTGTGACAATATGATTTATTTTAAATATGTGAAAAGCATCGTGACAAAAAAAACTTTTGTACAAAAATGAGGGATGTAATATGAAAATATGAAACATGCTTACTTTGAGTTGTACATGGAGGTGGCAGGGACTGGCTGCTAGCTGCAGAACACCAGGTGCTCTTCTTCATGTGTTGACATTGACAGAAGATTCTTGAGCCAGACAAGAGACAATGAGAACACCAGGAAGCGTCACCTGGGAGGACTGACAGGTTATGCACTCAAGTGGATTGAAGATGCCAGACAAGGAGACAGGTTTAAGCATTTATTATGGAGACAAATTCTTCAACGAGGGAATCAGAATAGCTCAGATGTGGACACAAAACAAGCGGAGCATTGCAGAAACAGAGAACATCCAGAGTGTCAAGGTTCAAACAAAAAAGGAGACTTGAGAAACACAGAGCACCAGTCCTTCAAATACAGCAGTTGAGAAGTGATAATGATCCGATGAAGGCTGGGGAGACGCACGTAGTGTAAATCAGGCAGCAGGTATTTGCACAAGTTTAAAGTAAAAACTTCTGCTACAAAATAAGACCATCTGAATATTAAATGGAGTTTATTACATAAAAATTAAAAATACAATGTTTTATTTACAGACATTTTTGTATCAGAAAAAGTATTTTTCAATTTGAATACAATCTTGGTGAATAAAGCAGATGGTGCAACTAGTCTAAGCTTCGTTTCACTGATTCTCATTCACCCACTACACCTTTTAGTGAGTCACAATCCAGCTAAACTGGAAAAAGAAAACCGTCAAAATGGGAAATTGCATTATTACATAAAAACCACAAAATCTGGCATTCACTCCTATTCAGGATTTCTTTCCTCAATCAGAAACATTTGTGCTGCACTGTAAAAAAAAAAAATCTGTAATAGAATGGGTAAATGTACAGTAAAAATTTGAAGGAATTTTCCGTTTTTATTTTTAACAGGTATTTGTACTGTATTCTCAATTTTATGCATTGCATCATGGGAACAAGAACATTTGCAAAGGGCAAAAACTGGTAAGATGACAATTCAAGCTCTCAGTAACTGGACGTTGAGACATCTTTCTTTTGGACTTTGGTTGGATTAAAAGTAGGCTTAACCTTCTTTTTTGCAGAACATAAAACGGATTGTTTTATGTTCACAGCGGCGAGAGGTAATGAGAGCACACACTCCTCAATCCAGTGTCTTCCACTGCCATTGGCATTAGGCTGTGGTCATGCAGGATTTGATTTTTAACTAAATATTTAAACCCGTATGTCTCAAAGAATAGTGGTTGACATTCAGCATTTATTTTACAACCATGTTTACAACCATGATTTTCATGTTCCAAAGCAAATTGTTTTATGTCCCATGTTATAGTAACTTAATAAATTGTTTATTTGACTTCAAAAACTAGAGTCAAGACTGCTGTAAATTTAATTGATACATTGAAAATTTGTATAGTAAAATGCAATAAATTAGTTTTGATGTACAAAAGATAAATTTTAGTAAGCTCAAGAATATGTTTTGCTATTAATATGTAGTAGCATATGTTATTTTTAAAGACTCTAGATGATGTGACAATTTATGCTCTTAAATTGCAAAATAAAATCTGCAAATTATTTGTACAATAGTTTTATTTTTTATATCACTGCATGAATTACTTTCAAGTGTTTTGTGGTCTAGAACTACATTTCTTTTGGATTTAAAGTTTAGTTTTTTGTTTCAAAATTATTTTAAGAATACATTAAACACATTAACCTTAATGTATTTCAAAGTTTAATTAATACGTGGTATAGAATACAGACTTCAATGGTTTGGAAGACAAAAATATTTGAAAATGTGCAAGGTTTGTGAATATATCAGAACTGTAAAAACACAGATAATTTAAATTTTGGCAAAACAGAAATGTTGGAACATTTAAACATTATGCAGGAAACATTTTGATGGAAATTCCATTAAAAAACCCCAAACCATATTCTTGTAATTTTCTCCCACATTTACTGTTTTTTTACGGAATTCCTGGCAGAATTTTTTTCATAATTTAAAAATTTTCTGAAAACGTAAAAAAATTTTTAAATCACAAAGAAAAAATCCTGTTGGAAATTCTGTAAAAAAACAAAACAAAAAAGAAAACAGTAAATCCATAAAAGAAATTCCAGAGGTCATCATCAATATCTTCAAGGCACAAGAAGCAGTGATTTTTTTTTTTCACTGCACAAATGTTTGACAGCGATTTTGTTAAATTTGAAGACAAAGGGAAGAGTTATGGAGGGCAACTTCACTCAGGTGTAATTACAGAATAAAAGTTACAGAGCAACTTGATACTTGAGTTTCATATTAAACAGTCTAACCACTGTGATTTCTCATATGAATAATAAACTATTTTCATGAGTGAAACTTTTAAAACAACTAATAGATGAGAGAGGCTTCTCACCTGTTTGAATCCTCATGTGGAAAGTTGACATACATTCGTGAGTGAAACTCCTTCCACAACTAACTCATGTGAAAGACTTCTCACCCATGTTGAGTCTTCAAGTGGATATCTAAACTTTGTTTTGAGTGAAACCTTTGCCACAAATCACACAGGAAAAAGGCTTCTCACCTGTGTGACTCCTCATATGAATAGTTAAACGTTTTTTTTCCGTAAACCTTTTTCCACATGTCATACAGGTGAAAGGCTTCTCACCTGTGTGATTCCTCATGTGAATAGTTAAACGTTTTCTTCCGTAAAACTTTTTCCACATGTCATACAGGTGAAAGGCTTCTCACCTGTGTGAAGCCTAATATGAATAGTTAAACTTTTTTTTTTATGAAACTTTTTCCACATGTCAAAACATGTGAAAGGCTTCTCACCTGTGTGAAGCATCATGTGAACAGTTAAGCCTTTTCGCTCCGTAAAACTTTTTCCACATTTTATACAGGTGAAAGGCTTCTCCCCTGTGTGACTCCTCATGTGAGTAGTTAAACTTACTTTTGCCGTAAAACTTTTTCCACATGTCATACATTTGAAAGGTTTCTCACCTGTGTGAACCCTCATGTGGGTAGTTAAACTAAATTTTTTAGTGAAACTCTTCCCACAAGTAATACATGTGAAAGGTTTCTCACCTGTGTGAATCTTCATGTGAGAAGTTAATATACCTTTCTCAGCGAAACTTTTTCCACAACTAATACATGTGAAAGGTTTCTCACCTGTGTGAACCCTCATGTGGGTA